AAAGGTTTCAGCAAGCAAGCTCAGTGCGACCTCCTCCGGCCGTCCCTGCTCGTCTACTCCGGATGATATGTTATTGTTGACATGTTACCTGTAACCTGATTTTCTCGTGCCTCCCGGGGTCCTACCTCTCTACAATCACTCCCACTCTCGCAACTCGATTCTAACTCATTGCTAATCGACACCTGGAGCTAGTCGGGTGAGCCGAGCCGAGTTTTTGCATGTGGTTTCGAGCGGTCGAGAAGTCCGAAATTCGGTTTGCTGTGGTTTTTCGGAGTGCAGTTGACGCCTTGGGTTTGTTAATGGGTTGGCCGTTTGATGTGGAATGAGATGAGCTGCTGCTGGTTTGCTGGGCTGGGAGCACTGTAGATCGGTGCGGCCTGGGTTGCATGCGGTGCTTCCTGGTCTGCTGCTGCTTGGGCCTGCTCCTGCTCGTCTCTCCGTCGTCATCATCGTCGTCCGGAAGCGATCGTCGCCCTTCCATGCAGGTGGGTGATTGTTTTCAGTGAATGGGTTGAATGTGTTCTGCATGTCTCTCTGTTCCTTCTCCCACGAAGGAATGGTTTTTTTTGCGAAATTCGCTGGCGACGACACAGTTGTTTCATCGAATGAGGGCTTTTTTGCTGTGCATCAGCAGCTGAGCTGCCTCGATGCTACGAGGCAGCCATTGTCAGAAGCCTTTGGGGTTTTTTTTCTCATCTGAAGTTTTGCCTGATAAGGACTGGGGGAATGACACTGTTCTGGGGTAGCCCTGTTCTCGTGCAGTAGGTCAAAGGTTCGACTCTCCCGGTGGGATAACCATTCCCTGTACGGTTCGTTTCGATGGTAAATTGATGTTGGCATATGCCTGGGAGTCAAACCCGCCATCAACTTGTTTATGTAAGCAATCCCAAGAAAAGAAAAAATTCCGTTAATTTTAGCGCAATGAATCGATGCTGGATGGGAGTTCCAGTAGCGAAAGTGAAGAAGAGCGGGACGAGGACACGAGAAATTTCTGCCAGTCCGATTCACAAAGGTATTTTGTTAGATTTGGGTATTTTGCCTGATAGAAGCAACAGCTTGTCGTGTGCTTTCTTCTCGCAGCACGCTGATTAAAGTTGCTTTGTGCTAAGGCAATTTGATCGGGAGGTCCCCCACTTTGTTGTAGTAGAATATGAGGTCAGCTTGATGAAAATTCGACTTGTGATGAGAGGTTAGCTCAATTAGCAGTCTGTATTTCATCCCTTAGCTGAATCAAGGTTTTCATCTCGGTGCGAGAAATCGAGGGAATCAGTCAGAGGATGCGAAAAGCGCAAAAATCAACAGAAAAATCGATGGAAAAAGTATTCCGTTATATGACAGATAAAGGGAAGCCTAATAAACAATTCAGATGCTTGTAAAATCATGCAAAAGCAAGAAAGGCTATGCGCAAGAAAATGGGACGAGAGAGCCTGCATCAAACATTTAGGGACGTTTCGGGACTTCATACCGATTGCCCAGCTGGTTCAAGTTTACTTGGTACATGAAAGTAGGAAAAGCGCTATTTTGTGCTGAAGAGGGACATAGTTTTTGGCAGGATGCATATAGCATTTTGGGCAGGAGATATCAGTCGTATGCGGAGCTCATTTTCGAAAATTTTTATGGACCGGGAACGAGTCGAACCACTCCCCTTCACATACAGACGTAACATTCTGCTGAGTCCACTACAGTCCTTGCGCTCCAGTTTCAGCCCGGTAGCGCATTTATTATGTATCTGCTTTTTAATGCAGAATACATCTTTCCCTTGGCTGCCTCCTAGGCATTACACACCTTTTTCTTTGTGGCGACTTCTTGACTAGCTTTTTGCAGATTTTCCACGACAGCACTATTTTGCAGGTGAGCCTTGTTGTTTCGGAAGCAGGGCACATACTGTTATGTTTATAATAAATAGCAGTGCGCACCAGACTAGCCGGTGCGATCATGCGTTTTGTGCAACTCAGCCCATCGAACGATTGCCTATTAATGATTTTCATTGTTTCGTACTTTAGTCTACGCAAAAATAATTCAAACATTGGAAAATAGTTAAAAATTTCACGCAGCAGTGCATGAAAGCTGAATTCGAGACCATGAGGGGTGAATATCTTTCCGTGATTCCCGAGTTAATAGTTTACCCGCCAAAATTTTCACGAGACCTTAGGTGATACCCGAGAGTGCGGGAAAGCTGAATTTGAATGGGCAATGTTGAACGTGGGCAGGGGGTCATTATCCTAAAATTTCAGCTTCCTAGACCCCGTGGTTCCCGAAATAATAATTTACCCGTAAAAACTTTCACGGGGCCGTACGCGTTACTCGCGGGTAGGGGGAAGGGTGAATTTAAATTTGCCGCATCAACCGCTGGCGGGGAACACGTCACTAAAATTTCAGCCGCTTAGCTTTTGTGGTCCCCGATTTGAAAGTGCGGGACGAAGTT